GTATGGCGGACTACAGAACACTGCGTCGTTCCCTGAACGCGCGGACAGTTCGCTTGTCTACGTCCCTGGATTTGGAAAAGAAGGGCTCTTGATTGGATTGACTGGTGGTGACAATGCTACTTTCGTAAGTCGACTGCTGAGGCTGTGATAACGGAAGCTAACAGAACGTAGACCCAGATGAATACTATCGACGTTTACGACATTGAGACATCGACATGGTACAAGCAGAGTACTTCTGGCAAGACGCCGAAGTACCGAGTCAACCCATGTACAGTTGTAGGAGCTGCTGCAGAGTGAGTACACCTTACTTTCCTTACCACTCGCAATTCTTACTGACAATGTCCAGCGGCTCATCGTACAACATCTACATGTTCGCCGGTCAAGATCTCAATGACCCTGGCAAGCTTGACACCCAAACGCAGCGCGACGACATGTGGATCCTTTCCGTTCCCTCATTCTCCTGGATCGAAGTCGAACAAGGCACCGACAAAGCCAGCATACCTCCGCCACGTGCCGGCCATCTATGCCAGGTCTGGGACCACCAGATGATCGTCCTAGGCGGCTACAACACCGACCTCGGCTGCGACGCGCCCGGCATCTACGTCTTCAACATGAGCAGCCTAGGCTGGAGCGACCAGTTCACCGCCGTAACAGGCAAAAACGCACTCCAAGGCTACAACGCCAAAGACAAAGGCAGCACCGGCAACCCCCTCGCCCAACAAATCAACCAACGCGGTTTCGGCGTCGAAGCCGGCATCGAAGGCTCCTACGGCTACGCCGTCCCCGAAGCCGTGCAAAGCGTAATCGGTGGCGCAGCAACCGGCGGCGCCACCCTCACCGCCCCCGTCCAAACACCCACCCAAGGCCCCCTCGCAACCGGTAAACCCCAGACCTACACCATGACGGGTCCCGACGGCGCAACCATCACCAACGTCGTCAACGGGAACCCACAGGGTAGTTCCTCAGGCGACAGCGGCCCCAACATCGCCGCCATCGTCGCCGGCGTCATCGCAGGCGTCTTCTTCATCATCGCCGCCTACTTCGCCTTCTGCGCCTGGATCTACCGCCGCCAAGTCCAGATCTGGAAGTCGCATGCTGCGGCCGTACAAACACGTGCGAATGCGGAGAAACAGGGTACTTTTACTAGTAGCTCGGGGAAGAACAGTAGTGAGCGACCGCCGGGTACGTTGGGGGGTAGTAGCCACGGGGGTGTTGCGGCGGGTAGCTTTGATATTACGAGGAGGGGGAGCGATGCGGTGCCTATGCCTAGCACGGCGTATGGGGGGCCGGGAGAGGGGGATAGGTGGGGCAGGAGGAATAGTGAGGGGAGTGTTGTGGATGGGTTGTTGGATGGGCAGGAGCCGAGCTTTTGGGGCGCGAGGGGTGTGCTTTTGAATCCGAGGAGGAGTTTGAGGGTTATTAATAGGGATTGAGAGTACTATCTCAATCTGGGAGTACAGTGGTGGCATATGATCTTCTTTTTACGATTCCCCCGATTAAGTATATTCAGGCAAAGAATTTGGTTGTATAATGATGGGATAGGGCAGAGATACATGGCTGATTGGGATAGTAATAATGACATATGGATAATGATCTACTTCTCATAAATCATCTCTTCTTTGCCCCTCTCTTCTTCAGCCCTCCCTCCAGCTAACCGGAGTAAAGTAACCAACGAAAAGAAAAGAACCCACACCCCCACACACGTCGAGGATCCCACCGCTCCCTCAACCGCTCCGGTTAAGAAGCCCCACCCCCATCAAGGTTATCTCGGAATCAGCCTCGGTGCCCACCTAAACCGTCTCAAGCCATCAGATTAAACTACACCAGTGAGTCTGTTTGCGTGTAGCTATCGAGAGGATGGCATGGAATGGGGTTTTGGAGGGTCGAAAACCTCCGGCGAGGTCTGTCAGGTAGGTATGCTGGTCTGCATGCAGACTGGGTGGGTGGGGGAGGCGGAGGGGAGGCGGAGGGGAGGTGGAGGGGAGGTGGTGGAGGTTATGTCTCTCGCTCGAAGGGGGGAAGAGGCGTGAAGTATCGGTAGTAGTGAACAGAGTAGTAAGAAGAATATCTAGGTTCGTTTGGGTGAAGGAATGCCCAGAGGGGTTTATGTAGCAGAGAGCGGAGAAGGCGTGTTCTCGCGCAGTAGGTACTTAGTATATATATGTTAATGATGTATTTGATCATGCGTGCTTGAGGACCTGTAATGCAAAGTAGACAAGATAGTCGGATTTTGAAGTGATCTGTCGCATACTATACGCTGTCGGTGTTAGAAAATGAACTCTCATTACACTCGGTACGCAGTGAGATTGTTTGCAAGCACGGTTTGTCGCTCTTTGACACACGCAAGTCTAGTTAGTAGCAACGTGGTGTAATCACTTCAGTCTGCATCGCCAAACAATCCCTTCTTCAGCACCCCGGACAAGCCGCGGAAGCCAACGAAAAGAACCCAGATATCCACACACGTTGGGGGTCCCACCACTCCCCCAACCACTCCCGTTAAGAAGCCCCCCCTCGAAATCAGACTCTCACGCGCTCGTCTGACAGACGATCTGTATCACCGTTGGAAAGCTACGCCGGCCGGTCGTAAACTTTCCTGGTGACACGTGATAATCTGTCGGATCGGACGCGTGGAGAGTTCCGTCCCAAGGGACTGGTCTGTTGCAGACGCCAGTTTGTTGAGGGGAAGAGAAGGGGTGAGTAGGAGGAGGGGGGGAATATATAGATGATAGGAGGAGAGGGGAGGGGGGAAGGAGGCTGTGGGGCTGTTGCCTGGTGTGTTTACAGTGAAGGCAGTGGCGGGAGGCGGTGGTGCCTGGTGTATTTACAGTGAAGTTGATGGTGTAAAGACGCTGGAACGTCGGGATAGTGAAAGGTTGAAAGCAGCTTTTGACCGGATTTGTCTTGCATCCTGAGTGCATGCGCATCTCACCCCGCGCGAGGAGAACCCACACCTTCATAGTGACACCATCTCTTCTTCAGCCACCCAGCCAAGCCGAGTCAAAGCCAACGAAAAGATATACGTACGTTGAGGGTCCCTCCGCTCCCCCAACCGCTCCCGTTAAGAAGCCCCAACCTCGAGAGGGGTCTCATTCCAGCCTTCTTGTCTTGACACCTTCGACCACGCGGTGCCATGTGGTAGGGTGTCTCAACAAGCGGGCTGAGACGAGACCCCTCTCGAGGTTACTGGTCTGATACAGACCCCTTCGACCTGGGCGCCCAGGTATACAACAATTCTCTCTTTGGAGAATGACATCCGTGATGGCCCTTTTCTTAGGATCAGCGCGTCCGGAGTGGTTCTTCTTTGAAGACCACCATGAGCTGCGGCGTTCCACTCTGGGAAGCTTCGTGATGTTAGCAATTCATTTCATGTCTCGAGTCGAGAAAGTGGAAGGGAGAAAGAAGGGGAAGGGAAAGGGAAGGAGAGAGAACATACCTCGCACTCCCGTCGGCAGCCCCACCTCTCTGCCAACCAGCCCGGTCAAGGGCGTCCCTATATTATCTTTCCTATCGTGTACACCCGTTTCAACTTCTTGCGGGTTCGACACAACGCCGGCACACATCTCCATCTGTGTCTCTCTGGTCTCGTGCCGGAATCTCTTCTCTTCTCTTCGACATCGGACCGCGTATGCAATGACTCCTCTTTGGGTAGTCACCATACATCTGTGTCATGTCAGCTCTCCGTCCCAGATGTTCCGTGGAATAGGTGAAAGGGGATAAAGAGACAGCAAAACTTGGAAGCCATACCTCATCCCCCAGTGTTGAACAGTCCCACCGCTCTGCCAACCGGCTCTTTCAAGAGCCTCCCGTTACAGGCCCTTCCTACCGTGTAAACCCTTTGGGAGACCCACGGTCCAGATTGTAGCGCTGGTGTGATGCACACCCCAGAGATGTGTGTTGATGATGGTAGTTGATGTGAGGGGAAGGAAGAGGGAGGTGTGGTAGTGGGATGTATATAGACGTGATGGATTTGCTAGTAAGAAGGATCTTGTGCGTTTGACTGTCAGGCGGGTGATGAAGATTGTGATTGTTAGGTGTTTTCTTTCGCGCTTTGATGTCAGGCGCGAGTGTGATGCGAGAACCGACTAGACATGTGGAGAGAAGATTGGAAAGTGAAAGTTTGGTATAGCGAAGATTGAAATTACGCGTAGATGTCTCTAAATCTGACGAGAATAGTAGAATACGTGACAGACAATGCCAGCATCGCGAGTTCACCGGCTGCCATAGTGTGTGTCTCGCGCCGGTCGACCGGAGGATCAAGCTTTCTGTATGTGAAGCCACATCACTCCTTCCTCAATTATAAGGCTCCGTCGCTTCCTTCTCTTTGGCGAACCAACACCATCTTCCTGACGAACTTGGCGCTTCACACCCCTCACATGACGTTCTTCAGTCAATGGCTTTCACACGAGGTGCGCGGTTGTTCGGCGCCGATCAGCCTCGGCATATGGACAGCCGAACGCTGGACCGACGTAGGCCCAGCACCAGCTCTCCGGAGCACTGGAGCTTGCACATGCGAAACCCAAATCCGCTTTCGCCCACATCAGCCACGCATTTTCGCTCTTCATCGCATTGTGGGAGCAGTCGCGTAGGTGTGCTCTTTCTCTAGACGGCTTCATTGGTCTTCATACCTTACTCGACTACGTCTATCTGGATTCTACGCGCGCCTGTCCATCCCACGCGACCCCACTACAGCTCCCGCCATGTCAAACACGGCGGATTCGGTCATTGAGAAGCTGCCCAACACGGCGGAGCTAAAAGAAGATGTCAAGGCGGCTTCTAAATCTTCGCTGCAGTCGCTGCGGGCGCTGTTAGCGGGAGGTGTGGGTGGAGTGTTTGCTGTCGTGGTTGGCCATCCCTTTGATCTGGTCAAGGTGCGCATGCAGACGGCAGAGAAGGGCGTCTATAGCGGGGCTATGGACGTTGTGCGGAAAACCATCGCAAAGGAAGGACTGGCTAGGGGGCTATATGCAGGTGTTTCTGCGCCGCTTGTTGGTGTAACGCCCATGTGTGAGTACAGGAGGACCAGTATATGAATAACCAAGGCTGACAATTGACAGTCGCGGTGTCCTTCTGGGGTTACGATCTCGGCAAGCAACTCGTATCCAGCGTATCCAAGGTCGAGAACAACCAGTTCAGCGTCGCACAAGTCTCCGCCGCCGGTTTCTTCAGCGCCATCCCCATGACCATCATCACCGCACCCTTCGAGCGCGTAAAGGTGCTCCTGCAGATTCAGGGACAAAAGAACCTGGCGCCTGGAGAGAAGCCCAAATACGCTGGTGGCATGGATGTGGTCAAGCAGCTATACAAGGAGGGCGGCATCAAGTCAGTGTACCGCGGCTCTGCCATGACACTGGCGCGTGACGGCCCTGGATCAGCCCTTTACTTTGCGACATACGAGACCGTCAAGCGCAGTCTCACGCCAAAAGACCCTGTCACTGGTCAGCCGGGGTCGCTAAGTATGGGTGCCGTCATGGTTGCTGGAGGTGCTGCCGGTATCGCCATGTGGATACCTGTCTTCCCAGTCGACACTATCAAGTCGCGGTTGCAAAGTGCCGAAGGCCGACCAACGATCAGCGGAACCATCAAGGGCATCCACGCGAGCGGTGGTCTCAAGGCTTTCTTCCCTGGTATTGGCCCAGCCATGGCACGAGCAGTACCTGCCAACGCAGCCACCTTTGCCGGTGTAGAGCTTGCGCAAAAGGCGATGACGAAGATGTTCGACCGCGACGGCGAGTAAGGGACTCGCCAAAGTCCTCAACTTTTTCGGATTCGCTTTTCTTTCATACTCCATGTCCATCTCATGTTGATCACGAACGATTTGGTGGCATTGCATATGGCGTTGTTAGTTTTCGCCTCCGCGCTTAGATATAGAGCAAGGGGCTTTCTGGGCGAACTCCACCCTTCGTCCCACTCGCCAATAGATACTGTTCTCACATACCCATCTTTCCTACGTCCAAAGTACCGGTTTTGGGCGGCCATGCGGTCTGTGCAAGCCAGGGCCCATCGGAATGCGGTTGCATCCGCAGTCCACTCTTCCCGCCCAACCAAAAGCCGGCCAAGATGACAAAAGCCTTGCGATCGCTACCGCGGTCATGGAGCTGGTAAGGCGCCGGATGTAGACATGCAGTACCAGGTGCATACCGCCTTTGTTCGCTATACAATCCTCCGCTAGTCGCCACCACCCCCCGCGCCAATATGCCTTGCTTCGCCTTTGTCCTCGTCTATATCTCCCGTATTCGTACTGTATGTGTTTCAGGGATTATCGTGTCGATACTATTAAGAGGTGGACGGGATGTCCTGATGACGTGTGGAGATTGGCTTACCTCGGTGATGAATCGAGGTGTTGAGAGATATGACAATGGAGACTGCGCGAACCCGGACACCATCGATCTCGAGATCTGTTGCGCCAAAGTTTTCGCCCCTGAACCAGCACCCTGTTTCTCATACCGCTGAATCAGAAAAGGCTCATCCCATCTTCCTCGAGCATCCATTCGAAAGACTGTCTCCTACCTTGGCAGCATATCCACGCGTTGTCGAAGCTTTACAAAGGAGACGAATATCAGTCTATCCCGACGTCAGCGAAACGATGCAGAAAGCACTAGGTCACCGTGCCGACTTCTTCGACGACTTCTCTTCGGAATCAGAATGGGAGGACAGGATGAGCAAAACGATCCAGAGTCCGATTTCAAGCCAGGGGCCGGGTCTGAGAGACATTCCGTACGACATCCACGCCGACACTGAGAATGCGCAGCGCGGAAGGAACAGGCAACGCAGTACCATCACCTCGCTGCCCAGACTCGCAGATCTTGCAGATGTCTCTGGTTCTGGAACTGATGATAGCGGAACCGGCGATGAGCGAGCTTCTGGTCGAGGAACCAATCACGCACGAAAGATGTCTCTAACGCGTCTGAACAAGGATAATGTGCGCCTGGTGGATAATAGGTCTATCAGATCCAGTATCGACTCGCCGAGACACTCGCTACGCAGCAATTTGTCTTTGCCCAACTCGCCGCTCATGGCATCGGTCAATTCAGCACCGTTCTCTACATCAGGACCTCTGGAGGATACACTCACCGCTCTACCGCAAAGCCCGACGTTCCGCAGAGAACACAGAAGGACCACGTCGTCAAACAGCACATCCGACAGCGTCCTCGCAGACTCCATCATAAACGCCCACGTCATGACCATGCGCGCCCTCGAAGCTTTGAGTTCAGACCCGCGGAGTATAGACCCTCGAGTCAGTAGCGAAATAGCAAACTCAGCAGGACGCACATACCTGCACTCCGCCTCCTCAACCTCCTGGCCCAAATCCACCTCCTTCTCCGCCAACCGACATGTCACCCTATCCCCCTTGTCAACCAGCGATGGCGACCAAGACGACAGAGCGAGCCGCCACCGCACCGCACAAATCTACTCCCCAGCCATCAAATCACCCAACCCCTTCTCCGTCCCCAGCACCGCAACCACCAACACAGGTCACGACCTCCTCATCCCGAAAGCGAGCTACATCCCGCAAAAACACGCTAGTATCCTAGACTCCCATCTCTCGGCCCTCAACTTCTCGCTTTCGAACCGCACGACGGAGGATTACACAAGGTTGAACTCGTGCTGTACGAGTGCGTTTCCGTTTGCAGATGAGCCGAAGAGCCCGTATGATGATCGGAAGGGGAAGGAGGTTCTGGGGCTTATGACGGGGAATGGGAATGGGGGTGAATGTGATATGAGGAGTCGGAGGGAGAGGAATGAGAGTGCGCAGGGGGTTGTGAGGGGTAGTGCTGAGGAGAGGGGACGGGGAGGCGGAGGTGAGAGGAGAGGGGTGAGTATGGAGGAGGGTGGTGTTGTTGTTTTGGTTGGGTTGAGGAGGTGGACGTGGGGTATGGGGAGGGGAAGATGTGTGTGCGCGTGTGGTAACGCGGATGAAGAGCAGGGTGGTTTATCAGGAAGAGAAGAGAAGTTGGCCAGAATCGTCATTCCAACGTACGCTTCGTCTTGGACGCCGAAACACAGCTATACCAAGAGCAGCATCAGTAACTGTAACAGCGAGAAGAGGTCGGATCACAGCCCCAAGATGAAAAGGAAAGAGCGCTCCGCTGACTTCGACGACGAGGCTTTCGCTTTGGCGCTCAGGGCTGCGAATCGCGAGTTGGCGGGTAATTGGTTCCGGAGGACGTTCAGTGCGAGGACGTTGAGTGGGATACATGTTGAAAGGAGAAGTACATGGGATCACGACAACGGTAACGGCAACGGCAGCACCAAGGACGACCGCGATGTTCATCCTGCGCTTCGTTCTCCTCAGAACAGACACTCCGCGACTCCGTCCTCAGACGACCTAATGGCGTTATACAAAAACCCCCAAACCGGACGTAAGAACTACACGTGGATATCCTGGGCCCGCCACAACACCCCCTCACATCCCTCTTCCTCCCCATCCCCACCAACACTCCACCTCACATACACCCTCTCCCGCCCCCGAATCCTCCTCGTCATGGGCATCCTCCTGCTCATCAGCCTCCTCGCCGCAGCAGCATGGATTCTAGTCGGTGCCGGGGAAGGGAAATTGTCACGGAAGGAGTTTAGCCAAAGAGTTGGGTGTGGGATGGCGATTGCGGGGTTTGTGCTGAGTGTTGAGGCGTGGGTGTGCGGGGCGTGGGTTGCGTTTTCTTGAGGGTGATGGGAGGATTGGGGATGGGGATGGGGTGAGAGAGAGGGGGACGGGATGGGGATGGGAATGGGAACGGATGAATTTGTGGTGGGGAAATATAGGAGGTTGATATGTTTGGAAATACTGGGCTTGTGTATCGATGATCTACCTCTAACTGTCCTAAGCCGGCTTGTTTATTGAGATACTCAGTTCATTGTTCCAGCCTCCAGCCGTTCTCACATGGCTTCAAGAACACGTTCAACGTCTTGGCGCGACGTTCCATCTCGCTCTTCTTCTCCACCATCCCGCTTTCATGTCGCGCCTCCTCTCCTAAACCACCAAATAGAACTGCCAAGCTCGAAGACTTCCACACGCCATGTTCCCTGCTACCACGCTTATTCTTCCTCGTTCTCCATATCGTGACCGCGAGAAAGACAGTCGTAAGTGCAATTAAAGCGATAGGGAAACTAATCCAAGCCCATCGGATCTTTATGCATGTCTCGGTTTTGATTGCGATCCCCGTGGCTGTACCGTAGGTTTTGTCTGCTGTAGAGTTGTATATCCGGGCATGGATTGTAAGCGAGCGTGCTAGTCGATCAGCGTAGGCTTCTATCGTAGACATGTTCGCATGACCATCGTTGAAAAGTGCCTTGATCCACAGCTCGCCGTACGCAGTGTTGAACCTACCGCCATATGCAGTGAGGTTTTGGTTGTAAAACATATCAAATAGTTTGCCTCGCAGCGCGGATACCGATTCAATATCGATGGTCCAGATGCAGTCGTCTGCATACCATAAGATGTCCTCGGGGGCTACTGGTTGTTGGTAATATGGCAAGAGCGTGTTGTTAGTCACGGCTACTGGAGTGTTTGGCGAAAACGTCCTGGACGGAGAGCACGATTCCCACGCACCATGTCGCAGCACCATGGGAGGAAAAGATATCCAATTGTACCACAGCGGGTACCCGTCTGGATCGTAGTACATTGTGAGAGGCTCAGATGATACAATCGTCTCTTGTAATTCCGATACCTCGATTTTCGACTTGATTGTTTGAATGGCTGGCCAAATCCTACATTCCGCGGCTAAAGGCGTCGCGCAGTCGTCAGTGATGAAGTCAGAACAGTTTGGTCCAAGGCTTAACGTGAAAGCAGCGAAGTTGAATAGTGGATCTTTGACGTGTTCCTGTGTCCAGTAATCAGGAAAGGACGTTCCGTTAGTGAAGTTGCTCATCGTACGGCAGATGTTTGAATATTGTACTGTGGTCTCCGGATCACCGAATCCTGAGATCCTCCACGCAGAAGTAAAGCCATCTGTCGGTGCAAGTTCGACCTCTGCTGTAATTTCTACGCAGGCAGACTCAAACCCAAGAGTCTGGTATGATGCTCCTGATGACGGGTCGATCGCAAACGTGCAGTTGCCTGTAGCACACTGTACTGGAATGTTTCCAGGGTCTTTGAGGAGACCAACAAGCATGGAGGCTTCAATGTTAGGCTCTAGCACTCTCGACATACCACCACCTACATACTGGCTGACACCGGTGAGGTTATTTGTACGGGGTACGCTGGCTATGGCGCCGGCTATAGTTCGTTGACAAACCACGGGTTGGATGATTTGCTGAGAGAACGGATCGATCGCGATAGCAAGCACTGTGATCCAAGCGCCGAGTACAACGACTTGCCTACAGAGCTGAGTCAGTAAGATGCGCCGAGGCAAGCATTCCAAGGTTTCATGACGTACCGGGTTCGCAAGCGGAAGACGAGCAGGAAGGAGCCCCAAGGCCCTCTGCTGGCGAGATCAAAGCTCTCAAAGTCGACCAATTGACGTGTCTTTGAGAACCACAGCCATTTCGATTGGCTAATGCATTCCGCGACAGGCAGAAGAAGTGACGATTTGACAACCGCGGCGAGGATCGCGACCAAGGTGTTGATCGATATTTTGAGAGGCATCTGCGTCAACACACGACCATCAAAGTATTGAAGTGTGGATACTAAGCAAGCCATCGCAATGACAGAAAGTGCGCAGCTCAGTACTTCTGCAGCCCACCCATCGTTCCACCATGAGCGAATGCGTTGGAAAACTGAGGAGGTTTCGTGCGTAG